CATCTGTTTCTCTGTGATGACAAGTAGACTGGAGACATTAAATACTTCAGGCTCCTGTCTGGCTTTGTTTCCATTGCCATGTGAGCTCACAGCTCACCTTAACCTGCAGGGCTGGCAGATCATTAGAGAGAGAGAGAGAGAGAGAGAGGAGTTATTTTAGTACCAAATTTAGGGATTAAATTTAGGATGGGACCCATCTGTGAGACTGTCTTACAAAAAGCTACCTGTTGTTATTTTGTGCTTCTTTTACTTGACTGGAAATCAGCAGAAATAGATTCTCCGAAGTCAAATTCTGGAAATAAAAGCTGGCTTTTACTCGTGTGGCTAATGCTCTTGGAGATTCACCTTCCACGGTAGCACTGCTTACTATTTTTGAATCAGCTACAGTCGCTTTGATAAATAACCTCTGCTATCTCTCCCATTCTGCTCAGATTTCAGACTGTTGAAGGGGAAAATATCCTGTGTTATTTTAAGTACAACAGATAGCATCAGGATTAGACCTTAGATCTTAGAGTATTTAATACAGCACTTAGATTCAGTGTCATTTATGTGACTTTCATAGCTCTTCTCAGGTAAATGTGAACAGCTGAACTAAGGTGCAACCTCATTTAAGGGATAAAATTGTCCCTGTGTTTTGGCTTTGGCTGACTGGCACCAGGAGTGGATTTGGTGAGATGTATCATGCTCATGACTCTACTGCAAATGCAGAGGTTGTTATTTCTTTTCTAGTATGGTAATGGTATCCAAGCTTGATTTTGAATACAGTGGTTATCCCTTTCAATATTTCATCAATTCTTTATCCCAACTTACTGTTTTTTTAGTCTATGGTATAAAGAAAATTATTTTAATGTGTGCTTTATTTGCAGTTTACGTTGTCTCTAGAAAGTGATCAAGCCTTGGAAAGAAGACATTATTAATCACGTAGTAGTTTCTTGAACTTTATTTTCCAGTCTGATTTTGCAGAAGCAAGCACTAAAGCTTTACTAGTTACTACTGTGGTTTGAACTGAGTTGGTTTTTTGTTTCTTTGTTTGTTTGTTTGTTTGTTTTTAAGAATGAACATATATTTATGACTGTTGGAACTCTTGGCAGAAAATACAGATTCAGTAAAATCAAGCTCATACTATTTTATATGTCTCATCATGGTACAGATACCAGTTTCCTGTACTGAGTCATCTCTGACTCCACTGAGCTGTCCCACGACTCCCACTCTCAGTACAGAAGATTCTTTAATAGATGTACCATACCTTCCTCTTTAAATCCTAAACAGAAACGAGATTTTTCAGTTATGCTGGTGAATGACTCTGGATTGAAACACAAGTAGATACCCCAGATATATTGAAGGATCATTCTGTCGTAACACACCCACAATAAATAATGTCATTCTGAGATTAGAAAAGAGGTGTGTTTTATTTTCGGCCATGTATTTCACTTGCTGTGTGAATGGAGATGGGTATTTGACTTTCAGAGTGTAGCCTAAAAAAGGAGCCATGCCAAGGAAGGCCGACGAGCCCGTTTGCCCTGCTGTCAAATAAACATCTTTTCTCCTCCGTGTGCTTTGAAATCTCTCTCACTAGGCTATTTTGCAACTATGTAGACTTGAGGCAAATGAAACCACCACTTACAATAGAAGAAAAGTTTAAAAAAAAAATCTGTAAAATGTGAATGATTTTGTACTGTATGTTATACTATCAGTTTACACTGTTTTTGCCTTTTTTTAGAAAAAGTCCAAAAATAATACATGAACTTACCTGAAACCTGTAATTGCAGCCCGTAGCCTTTCCCACATCACTGAATTTCAGAATAGTTAAACCTCCTACAAAAATCAAGTATCTGAGTGTAATTTTTTTAATGTTATTTAGGCCTGAAGCATATGTTAGCAAATATGCTATTATTTCCTTCATGATTTTTCTTTTTTTTTCCTTTTATTTTTGGATACTGGCTGCACAGTTAGATTTTTTTTTTCAGTAGCATTTATTTACAAAAACATATTTGAGTTGTTTCTATCAATAGCCTCTGGTAGACCTCTTAAGAACAAACTGCATAGCAAATTGACATTGTGTCCTTGTTAAATCAATTCCCACTGAGTGGATACAATTTACATATTGATTACTTCATTTTCTTGATTGCCCTTTTGCTGGGAGATATTGGGTAGGGAATGGTGGGGAGCACATGTGTGAAAGGGAGTTTTTTGTCCTAGAAGACCCACCATGGAGACTAAGCCGGGTTCCAGGCCTCTTTCCAGCCGGCCGTGGGCTGGAATGAGGGAGGCCTCAAGGCAGCATCGGGGCCTAGGGTGGGCTCAGGGGAGCTGCAGGCCGGCTCTGTGTGTTTCGGGTATTTCGCATGACCTGTCCTAGACCTGGCTGGTGCTGATGGTCTCCTCTGGCTGTGCTGGCAGCTCCCCGGCCTGAGGTGGTGGCCAGTGACAGGACAAGGGGTAATGGGTTAATTAAAAAACAGGAAGTTTCACCTCCATGTGAGGAAGAACTTCTTTCCTGTGAGGGTGACAGAGCGCTGGAACAGGCTGCCCAGAGAGGTTGTGGAGTCTCTTTCTCTGGAGATCTTCCAACCCCACCTGGATGCCACCGTGTCCACGTGCTCTGGGTGTCCCTGCTTGAGCAGCGGGTTGGACTAGATGAGCTCTAGAGGTCCCTTTCACCCTCAACTGTTCTGTGATTCTGTGAGGTGCACCAGAGCACACCATGGTTGATGCTGCTGGTTGTTTCTGGGATCCTGGGGTGCAGTTAAAGCCCTCCCTCTGCTCTTGTTCCCAGCTGGTCCGCTACAGCTCCGAAGGCGTCCTGCAGCTGGGGCCCCTGGGCTCCACAGCCTTCCTGCCGGACTCGAAATGCCTCGTGGACGACGGGAAGGGCAGGACACCCACTCTGAAGAAGTGCGAAGATGTCCTGAGGCCAGCACAGAGGTTCTGGGATTTCACACAGGTACCCCAGAACTCTTTGCAACCACACAGACATGAGATGAGCCAAGTAGTGTTCTACAGGCTATAAAACAGCAACAAAAGACAAATGATCTGCTGACCTTCAGGGGACTGTTCTAGGAATCCCCCCTTATGTTTTCGAGAAATTTTCTGATGGGCTTTCTAGGAATTTTCCAATAGACTTTCCAGGAATCCAGCCTTATGCTGTCTTGGAATACTCAGACACACACATTGCAGTACGTTTTCTAGGAAGCCTCTCCACCTCATGGTTGTTAGGAATTCTGTGACAATTTCTAGGTTTCACTCTCCCTTATGTTCTCTGTGAAATTTCATGCTTCCTTAAATTCCTGTGTGTTTTCAAGGACCATCTGATTTGCTTTCTAGGAATTTTTTGATACATTATAGGATTATTTGTCATCTGGGAATTTTTCTGATGATTTCTAGGAAGTCATGATGATGACTCCTACCTTCTATGACTTCTGTATGACTTTCCACGGGATCTTATAGTTCCTTCTAGGAACTAGGTTGGTTGTCCCTAGACCCTTTCTTAGGAGTTCCTGGGATCCTATAGTTCCTTCTAGGAGGCTGTCCCTAGACCCTTTCTTAGGAGTTCCCAGTGCAACTGTTCCCAGTGAAATTTCTTTCAATTTCTTTCAAAAACATTTATGTAAATTTTTGGTACTGTCTAATCCTTGGTTCTAGAGCTGCTTTGGAATTTTTCTAGCATCTTTCTACTAATTTTTAAATCTAGAGCTTTCTATTGCTATTTATGTTTATAAAAGAATTATATGCATAGTACTTTTTTTCTTCTAATCTTTCTATTTTTATATTCCTTCTTCTAATCCTTCTTTCTTTCTTTCAGAATGGTCCAATCATCAGCAGAGACACCGGTCGTTGTCTAGAAGTGGAAATGTCAAAGGATGCAAATTTTGGGCTCAGATTAGTTGTGCAAAGGTGCTCGGGGCAAAAATGGATGATTAGAAACTGGATAAAACATGGTCGACATTGACTGCTGGGGCTGCGAAGCTGCCTCTCCTGCTACTGTCCATCGCTCAGTGTGCCATACCTCCAAGGCATTTGTCCTAAAGCAAATTAGTTTGAACAGGACTTGACTCTCGACAATCCTCCATAGCTGGGCATTTAAAGAGAGGGGAAAATAAAAGAAAAAGCAGACACACACATGCCCTGTTTGACTCTTCGTTGTTCCTGAGGATGCCCTGGGAAGCTTAAAAAGAGTTTTCTGTTGATTTGGAAATCATGGGATGGTCAGAACACAACAGAGAAGTGGGTGCTTTAAGCTCTCCTGGAAGAATTATAGACAGATGGTTCTATGATGAGTTGAAAGGAGAGTTCCCAATACTGCCTCATAAAGAGAGTTCTCTGATGGTTAGCTTTTTAGCTTTAAGTTATTGACTGGTGCACAACTCCTATGGTGAATAATCATGTGCCTTTTTTATTGTACTTCGTATACAAGGGAACTGGAAAAACCCTACCTTTTCAGCATGTCTGGTTCATTGTACTAAACAAGGAAACCTGTAAATAACACTGGAAAATGTAAGAAAAATTTCAAGGGCAATTGTCTAGGAGTCTCTGTTTCTAGAAAGAGACTGTTCTGCAAATGTTTACAGGTGGTTCTCAACCTTCAGGTTGCTAAAAAGCAGCATTTTAGAGACCTCTTCTAGTTAGGAAACAGGTAAATGTTGAATAGGTAAAATTGCCACATGCTCCATTGTTTTGCCACATTTTACATTTCTCAGCTGTAAAGGCATCACAATACAGCACATAGGTATTTAACCCTTTCGAGGCAGTAGACATCCTAGTAGATGATTTCTAGAGGACTCAGTTGGCAAACAAGCCCTGAGGACATAAATGCAGGGCTCCCCTCCTGCAGGGCTGCGTGTGCAGGTGCACTGTTGCAGCAACAGCCTAGAAACCAATGGGGGATGCCAAATATTCATCCCTTCTGAAAATAAGGTCACTTATTTAGTTGCCAGCTGTGGAATTTAGAAACTTAACTTGAAGCTTCCATTTTGTTACTCTTCCTGCGAAAATGTCAAATGTGAGCAAAATATGCCTTGTGAGCACCTTCTAAACAAACCAGCAAAGTCATTTCAAGTATTTGAGAGAAAAAAAAAGAAAGAAAAAAAGAAAAAAGCTAGTGATAAGAAGACAAATTAGACCAAGAGAGAACTAGACAGCATATATATATATATTCTGAAACCTAAATGTTTTACTGTAGATTATCTGGCGAGAGCATGTTTGTGAACCTGAATTTAATGAAGTATGCAGTGGTTTGTGAAGTATCTACGAGGCTGAAACAAGAGCAAGGCCTTATCCAAAAGCTATCCAAGCTGATGACCATTGTCAATGTCAGCAGGCTTTGGATATGGGTTTATGGCAGATGGCCTTTCATTATAGAAGATTCGTCATAAGGAAGGAGACAGAGATGGTACCTGTTAACTTCACTGCTCAATATTTTCCTAATTTAAATCAAAGAGTTTTTTGTTTGTTTGTTTTGCTGACCAAGGAAAACAGGTAATTGCAGACACTATAGTAAAGCAAATTTACATTGATTGGATTTGGAAGAACTTTTGCCATTCCTATGTCAAGGTATGTTGAACAAAGTAAAATGGAAACAGTTAACTTTATCCAGGGCATGATATCTAATAAAATATTTACTTTTAACATGCAAACTCCATCAGTTCTTGTCAACTTCTGGTTATTATTCAGAGAGTGTATCACTGCATTTTGCCCCAGTTTTATTCTTGAAACAGAGTGTGCAAGATGTAACACAAAGCCAATTTTCCTGGATTTTTTCATGGCTGGTATTTTTATGTGAAATAGATGAGATTATGTCTGAATATATACAAGAGAATAATGAAGGGTGAGATTCCAAATATAAAAATTGGTACTTAAAACTCTGTGTTGCAGTTGATTGTACATGATCAGTTATGAGCAGCATAACCTGCAGGAAGAGATAATATCTTTATTAAATCAAGCAATACAGTAAAAATTCTTGAACAAGCTTTGTACTCAAGCCTTCCTGCAGGTCTGAAACAGAGGTAGGAAGCTTCAGGCTAAATATAGATTGGGAACAGTTCCCTGCATTTAACCTCATTATGTTACTCTATTAGATAATTTAAAAGGATAGTTACCATCTATGGAGCAGGTGTCGAGTGCTTTGTACGGGATTTTGGTTTGTAAGTGACTTTTTCATCTTCTCTCTGGGTGCAGCTTAAAAGGGAGAAATTATATGAAAACTGTGCTCTTTTGTTTACTCTTGTTTTTATCACTTAAATATTTGGCTGAGGGAGGGGAGGAAGGCAAAGGAAGGGCAAGTTGGTCTATGCCTGGTGAGTTATTGGGGAATAAAGCCACAAATGATTCATGCTTTCAGTAGGCTTTCTGATTAAAGTGACAGCTATTTTTGTATGAAGGTGGCTGGAAGTTGAAAGTAATGAGAGTATATCAGTATGGCTACTCTATGTCTAGCTATGAGAGTATAAAGTTACTGTGTTTATCAGAAGGTAATATGCCTTTTTTTCCCCCCAGTCTCATATTGTCAATCTGCTCTTGATCCCTGCTGAGCAATGGGGCAGCCTTCCAGAGCTTGGACAAATAAAAAGGGCTGAGTATTTGTAGGAACACCAGGTTTACAATTTAGTATCCTATAAGGAATGTTGCATTTCTGGTTTAGGAGCTTTGAAGGTGAGAAGCTTCTGCTGGCAAAGATTTTAAGAATCATAAGGAATGTGAATTGGTTGCCCTTGGAATTTCATTACTGCATGTTTTAATATCCAGCGCAAAGAATTCAAATGCGTCCTCTCTGTCACTAACTATGGGTTAGTTCTGGCAAAATTCAAGTACTGTGTCTGACCTCTGCAGAAGCCTTGTAAGAATAAGACTTTCAGCATAAGAGGGAAAATAAATTCTGTGATAGTTAAATGGATCTCAGATTTACAGAATAATATAAAAGAAATCAAAATAGCTCTTAAAAGTGGGGTAGGTATTTTTTGTGCTTGTCATTTTTTCTAAAACTTAATTGGAACACTTTCTTACATTTGGGAAATACATCTGTAGGATTCTTTTTACTTTAGTCTTTATCTGTCTGAACCACTGCATTGGCTATGGTTATTAACATCATGGCTCTGCATGTGAGGGGCTCTTAAATATTCCCTCATAAAATGAATAGTAATTTTAAAAGCCTTGAGTATTATCTATTTTAACCAAAGTCTGTTGGTCTCTTGTCAGTATTTCACCCCTATGTATAATCCAAAGTCCTGCTTCTTAATGGTGTTTCATATTTTCATTCTTGTTTCCAACAGTGCTGCAGTCCAGGTACTTTGAAAAGTATTTAATATAATGTAATATGCCTTGTGGCGGAAATGCAGTTGAGAACAGAATTTTCAATTTTGTTTGATTTAAGAGATTTTGGAGTTAAATGCTAGATCCTAGGACAGAAGAACAGAAGGCTATAAGGAAAATCAAGCTGCTCTCATGGACAAACATGTCTGGTAATACTTTTGTAATCAAGATCCCTTTAAAATTAGAGTGTGCTGTTGGTAAAAGGCCTTTCTCCTTTGAGGGCTGGAGATGATTTTCCAAGCTGAATTTATTCTTGGCTTGATTAAAGCCATTTGCTCCTGATCCAAAATGGTCCTCCAGCTATATTGTCTCACTGGTTCCTGTGCAAATTGACCTCCAATGGAAAGCAACTGAGGGAAGCAATAATAAAGTTATAGATGAAGGACCCTATGAGTTCTGCTGGAATTCCATAATGATTTATATTATGTCCATCCTGTGGTATGAAAATTCTTCAGGATTGTCTCACATCCAAAGAGCTAAAGACCTGCAGCTCTACAGGACTGACTCAAAGAAAAGACAAAACCAGTTCTTCCTACACACTCTGAAAGTGCTGAATCTGTCCCATTTCAGTAAATAATTTAAGGGCTTGGCATGTCTGAAAAATCAGTCCTTTGCAAACCTTTGCAAACTGTCTCCATCACTTTTCTTTTTATCAGCTCTCTCCTTTATAAAAACTGTGTCCTAGTAGATGAAAACTTCACTTGCCATGTGACAAAGGGCACAAACCATCTGACACAGGGCAGCTGAAATTTTAAGTACTTAAGCCACAACTAATAAGGTTTAATGAAATAGCACCAGTCCTAATCTGTTCTTTAGATCAATTACACAGCATGTAATTCCTTCAGTATCCAGTATTCATTTGAAATGGCTCATTAACAGCCATACTAAAGCACATTATGGCGTGTTTCTGGTCCCAATGAATCGGGTTGTAAGAAGAATTTCAATAGAAGCTGGAGTCCAGAGGGAGTTTGACATATTATTATTCAGTTGGACACAAATACTTTTTTTTTAAATGTGTGTGTGAAGAGGAAGGCTTTGTGAGGAAGAAAAGGATTTTTTTGACTGCTGTTATTTTGACTAACTGTTACTTACTACTCATAAAAACCAATCCCAAGGTCATGGTACAGATAAAAGGTGGTTTTGCAATTTAGAAAAACTAGCTAACGATCAGGATAGAAAACAAGGAAGGCTCAGGTTTTCACATCTGTATGCCACCAAAGTAGGCTTAATATTACATTCTCTCTGGAAGGAATCATTTATTGTAACGTGTACCTGCAAATCTTAGTTTGTTGACACCATTTTTCCCCCCAGTGACATTAGTTAACATTAGGGGAGAGGTGCAATTCCTGGATGCATGGAAAGGATATTAATTGGCACCACGATCTAAGGGACCATGTACATTGTGCACTTACAGCTTTCCTGTGGGGTAACGAGGAGCTTCATGAAATCCTAAAGCAGTGTGTGCATCCTCCCAGAACTGGAGTCTATCTCCCTAGCGAAGCAAGAGAACTAAAGGAGTAGTCACTGTAACTATGTAGCTAATAACCACGAATTTGGCATAAAGCACATTAATATTTACATCTCCAAGAAGTATTCTACAAAATGTAATGGATTAGCTTCAGGTTCTATCTTCTGTCTTAATAGTAACCCTATTTTACTCTGGTAACTGTTGAAAATACCTTGTCCTTATAAAGGACCGGAGTGCTTATGCTGTGTGAAGATTTTTAGCTGTCTCTACAATGCACCAGCAACGAGTGGCTTTAGAAAAGAGATTAACAACCTCTTTAGCACACTGTAATGGATTTTAGAATCCATTGTGGTTTCACAATATATTGACTTACATTAAAAAAGTGTTAATAATACAAAACTCTAGGCATTGTGTTCATGGGTTGTCCTAAGTCAAAACAATCTGCTTTCCCATGAATATTTACTTAAAAATATCCCACTGAAGCAATATATGCAAACACAGTTTTGAAGAGAATTTC